TAATGGTGGACATAGTTCTTTTAAACAGAGATAGGATAATGCAAGCTTATTTGTTCTTCTCCAAGTTTTAATTGAAAGCGTTAATCCATATACAATTTCGAAGCTGCTTTGCGAAACTGAAAGGTTTATTTAGACTTGGTTTGAATTTGGGCTGAGTAGAATTTTTATTCAAGATTCTTTTGTAAATATGAAATAATGCTATTACATTGTGGTTCTGTTCCTATGTACAGTGAAATAATAAGAAAAAAATCTACAAATTATGTCCGTAGAATGATAACATGACAAATTCTGATAATTAAAGAACTTTTTTTTAATGGGACGCTAAAATACGCTTTTAGACGAAAAAGGTATTTTTACATTTTCTATTCGATAAAAGTTTTGTAGTGACTAGGATATATATACATAAACTTATCTATGACACGATCAATTGCCAAAAAGAGAAGTCCGCTGTATACGGCAACATAAAAGTGGCGTGCGTTATCCAATATCGAACTGAGAGCGTGAAAGGCCGCCCGACATATGCTAATGTGGCCATTAGAAATCGGAAAACGATGGTACCGTTTGGACTCGGCTGCCCAAAATACCGGAACCGGTGGTTTATGATCAAAATTTTTGACAATCGTGATACAGTTTGTACGAAGTCGCATAACCGATTCCGATTCAAAGAAGAAACGCTTTCAGTTTTATAGACACCTATATAAATGTCAACAATGATTTGAGATAGATAGATATTTTTATTTACATAGTATAGTTTGCAAGTATATTGAAGAGATTATTACCTAATCACTCTTGATTTAAAAGTACAATAAATATAACACATATGAAACTCTTACAAAAGTGTAAAAACAAAAACATGCGAAAACGATTAAGCGGAAAAACAATTGTGATCCATGATATATTGCGCTTTCCACATTAGCTATGCGCTGTGCCTGTTAAGTTTTCACACACCTAAATAAACCACGCAATTATGTTACTGTAGGAAACTCTGAAGGAAACTTTATCACCCGTGCGAAGAACATCAAGTAACTGCAAAATATTAAACTCCAATCAATCCTCTTTAGAAGTCTTTCCATATTGAAGTTCAAAAATTGGTTAAAGGAAACTTGGTCTTTTGAAGTAATATTCGTGTTGATCCAAGCAACGGCAAATTATTCAAGTTTCAGTACTCTAAAATGTAAATTTAACGCAATCATCCCGATGATTCATCAAGGCTACAACATGCGAAGCATTTTATCGGACGGCATCCCGTTTCAAAAGTATGTTCTCGGCTTTTGATATTGTCAGTATGTTGCTAGGCTTTCTTTCGAGTTATAGGGTTTACAGTTAAGAGCTGGAGTCGCTAATGATCGGTATGTGAGAGATTTTCTGTTGCACTTAATAACGGATCATTAAGCCGTCTGCAGTTAGCAATCTAGTATGTACTGTACTGTAAGACGTTGATATTAAACGTTTGTATACACGAGTGTTACAGCGTAGTGAAAAAATTATATAAAGACTAGCTGTTTTCCTGCGACTTCACCTGCATAAATTACAGCTTATGTCACCCGCGTATGACGTAGCTTCCCACAGGTGATTTATTTTAATCTGTCTTGTACTTTCGGACTGTTGGATGCAAAGAAACAATCAAATCTTTTAATTTTATACGATTAGTATAGATATTATATATAGATATCAAGCAGTGATATCATTTGGGAGCACATGTTACGAAGTCTTTTAGGAATACTATATTATGAAGAGATTTTTTTAGATCTTCAATGGCTCCAATAAATTTTCATAGTCAACAAGATACTTTTACAGCTGAAACCCGTTTATTTATAACTATGTGACAATATAATAACACTGAAATTTGAATCTTTAACTTTGATTCTGTCTCAAACAATAATTTATTTATGACTTATGTGATTGTTTTCTTCCAATTATTCTACGGAATTAAAATACTGGTTAGCGATTATGTAAATTAGAATTCATTCATGTATCCAAATTCACAAACAAGTGAATCCGAATTAGGGGTTCGGATTTTTACAGTCATTTAGTATAGAAATTATATTGATTCCATTCTTATATAAAAACAAAAAACAAGATTGATTGATTCATACGTGTCTCAGATATTCTATTCCTCTGGTTATTGGAAACTTACTTCACTTATACCAGGAAACGTTATTACCAATTCAAGTACCAATATTTATGTGTTATCTGTTAATTCAAGATTGCATTCAATTGGATGCAGCTATTGTAGTGAATTCGGGTTCGGATTTTTACAGTCGCAGGGCTGTTCCTTCAAGCCCATTAGTTCCATTTAAAAAAATAACAGTTAAGTTGTAATTAAATATAGTTGAGAAATTTAACGGCGGACTAAAGTATAATACTTGAATTATAGTTTAGAAAAATCATTAAAAACGGTCCTTTGTAAAGTTGAAAAACTAACATAGCCCTGCCTATGTTATAAGTATGACAACATATGACATTGTTGCACAGCCTACATAATGTTATTTCGTCACAAAATATCTACTGCCGTTAGAATATATATTTGAAGGCATTTCGCATTTTGTTTTTTTTCTTTCGATGATATATGGGAATAATAAAACTTTATCTGCCTTAATTCTTATTTGCAGTTTTGTGTAAACATGAGATGGTGATAAACTACACCACAGATGTTATTTCCGCATCGAATCATATTTCCCGAGGGATTTTTCGTGATACTTCCCTACAATACGAAAAAGCTTATATACAGATGGCCATTAATAACATTTGTTAGTTCCAGACATCATATTTTCTTTAATGGCAATGTAGAGAAGAATGATCTCGATAATTTAAATGAAAGTAGGTATCATTTTAATAATATTTACCGTAACTCAGATGTCAATAAGTATTTTGGTGGCGAAAAACAGTGCAAAAACATGGTTAATACATATTTAGCCAACGGTGTATGTTGTTGATTTTTTGTCGAGCTTTCTCCGCAAAATACCGGTTCTGATAAATACTTTTTAGTGTTCAAGCTGTTATCCTCATAAAATCGTAATTTGGTACTCGTAAAAATTTAAGTTCCAATAGTTAATCACCTGTTTGTCATAATTTATACTTTACAAGTTTTAGCTTGAATATTTTTAACACTTTAGAAACAATACTTAAATGTTGTTTTGTATATTATGTCATAGTTGCAATACTGTGAGTCATTGTGTAATAAGGGAAATAATGTTACATGAAATAAAAAAATCGGTCGAGAGCGAGTCGGACTCACGCAGAGGGTTCCGCTCAAATCAAAATAAAACATAGACGTTTAATGAGTTTTCCTGTAAACCATAGACAAAGAACTATTATTTGTATCACATAATATGTTAGATCAATTTTACACATTTACAATACTAATTGATATTTATCATAGAGCAGATTTATCAAGATATTTTCCTAAAGAATATATATACCTATATTTTAACTCAGTAGTTTCGGAGTTCATTAATTTCCGTTTATTTTGTTAAACGACTTCAAAACTATTTCATAATTATAAATAAATATATATTTGAAATCCAACCAAATGATTCTATGATGTTTCCATATCTTCCATAGTTATAAGTTAAACGCTAATTCATTTATTAACCCTAAAAATTATAAACCACAGCGTGGCTAACAAGAAGTCATAATGAAACTGCCTTCCCAAGAGCTGTTTAATAGCTTATTTATTCTACTAGCACAGTTTATATAGTCATATCTTAATGAATTCTCTTCCTAGTGATATTATATATTATTGTAGTGTTATATATTACTGGGTCAGTTTCCCGCGGTAGATCATAGACAATATTAATGCAAAGACATGCTTCCGTGTCATTCCCCTTGCGGGGTTGCAAAATATATTTTACAGGAGACTCGAGTGATTGAGCGTAATAGATAAAAATCATTTAGTGTTAAATTTTGATTTTAATAAATATGTGGCTATAGTAATTAATTAATCACAGTAGTTTGTTTAATATTTCTTATTTGTTTTATTCACAATAGGATATAATGTGTTTGTTTGGACTTTATGAAATAGCGAGAAATATTAATTACATCTGATTGTTTCTTTGCCCACCAACCAACTGTTTTATTTGAGGAATCTTAACAACATAATTTGACATTCTCAAGAAAACAATGTTTCGATATTGTACCCATTTTCATAAAAGCTTTTCTCAGGCTCGACGCTACTAGAAATGTTCTTTTCTCGCGCACTACCATACAAAGTACTTTGAGTCGACGAAAAACCAGAAGTTTCACTTTCTTCATTTATTGTGTGTGTCTATAGTACGTATTATAGTCGTGATATACATAGGCAAAACTAATTCAATAAACCCGTACAATTATTTTACATTTTTATGAAAATTATCATATTACTAAAATATAAAATACTGTAATCTTTATTATCCAACTTTTAAGATAGAAAACAATAATTAAACTATCTTTTAAGGAAAGCATGGAATTTGACCCGATATTGGAATTATAAGAATAAATAAAAATCAATGCATCATGCTACGATTGAAATGCAAGCTCATTAAATTTATAAACAATCAGTTGAAAACAATAACTCAATAAAGTGTGTTGTAAGAAAACAGTATTTACTCATGGTATGTAAATATATACGCATCTGATGATGGTAATTATTTATTTGAACGGTTATGTATTATTTATCGATTCAGTTCAGAGAGAGTATGTCATACTCATACCGCGACAAATTATTTAAGATGATATTTAAGATATGTTTTAATGTGACGTGTAATGAGAGTATTATAATTCACGGTGAACCGTTATCTCGTGCGGTTTTAGTCAGTTTATGCGCAGATTGCGAGACCTTGTCGTTTGTATGTCATTTTTTGCAAAAAAGATAATGGTACTTAAACTCTTAAAATACATCACGTTATCTCTATTTAGATTAAACAATTTCTTTATGACATCATTTAAGGTGAAATATTTAAAAGACCATTTCACAATGGCAATATTTATCCTGAAATCTTTTATGTAAATGAGTTATGTACCTTATCACTACAAACACAAACGTAGTTTGGGTTGCAGTAAGAGCAATCGCACTCAGCACATTCGTTCCAAAAAATTTCGCCGTTGCAGCCGAGCCGGCCGCCGGTTTCTACGTCCACCCACGTAGACCGCTTCATCAGGAAAAACTCCTGGTGCTATAGACACTCAATATCCAAACTACAAATCCAAATGTTTTCTGAATTATTGTTTATCACCAAACGAAGACTTAAGTTTGTAAAAACAAATCTAGTCACTGACACTGAGTTAAAAAATTTCTTTATCAGGAAATATCGCACTGAAATTTCTGGAGAGATAACAAATCACAGTTGATTACTGGATGACACCAAAAAGTACTAGGACAATATGAATGGCGCAAAGGTTGCGAGCGTGGCGGCTGGCGGCAGGACCGCCGCGCTACGGCTCATCGGGTAGACTGGTGTAAGCACACCGCTTCATTTTACGGCTCGAGCAGCGCACGCCTTCGTCTACGAAATCCTTTATAAAAATGCATCAAAATGATACCGTTCACATTTCAAAATGTGGTGAAGAACTTATCACAAATTTGCATGAGCAGAAACCAGCAACACCTGAAGAAGAAGATAGTAGCCGACGCGGTGTTAAAAAATTATTGATGTTGAAAAATTAAGTATAATAGTTAAAATATAAAATAAATTTGCGTTCCAGTTTGCATATCCAATAAAAGCAGGAACACGTATCAAATTCACAATGCCACTAACAATACATCACGATTTATGAGTCCACTATGTTCACATCACAAAAGGCACTGAATGATGCACCGAAACGCGCTGGCGACCGTCGACGGACGATAACATAGTAAATAATTCCTATTCAATTAGACATGACACTTTGTTTGTAAATATTTACCAAAACAAATATGCATACTTTACTTGCACATAAAGCGCTAAATGTACTTGGACAATTTGATCAAGCATATAATTCGTTAATAATTTATGTTTTTTTTTTTTATTTAATAGATGATGAAAACGATTGAAAAATAAATCACTGAACCAAATACTTTATAAATTAAAATACATTCGTAGTTTAATTAATTAAATAATGCTGACATTAAAATAATCAGTCATGCTTTGATGGCTGAGCATAAAGTGGTAGCAATTAAAAACATTTCATGCCTCTTAGATACCTCACAACGTTCATGCAAATTGTAAAACAAATGTAATAAAGAGTTACTTGGGTGATAATTAAACAAAAGAGTTGAGCAAAATTGAATAAACTAGAACACTTTGAACAATGTTATCAAAAATGTTATGAGATCTATAATTTTTGGTGCAACTTATATGATATTAGAGAAATCTAATTCACACGTAAATAGTTGGTAAATCAGGTGAAGATTGTGTATTTTGCCATCGCAATAGACCATTTGTTGCTTGTGTATATGATGAATGCAAAATTTTAAGTTTCGAATCATTATATTAGTTTAATTAATTTTTTACGCGAATGATAGCTACGCTAGCTTATGTTCGTAAAATAGATGTTTTATTGGTTACATGATGTAACACAGAATTTATTTATGGGGTATAATTGAGTTCTTTTTTACAATGAGGAGAAATCTCAATGATGTAGGACAATTCCGTGATACGACATTAACTTTTGAATACATTTTACACTCCACGGTTTTTTTCGAGGCTGTCTGAGGTGCTACGTGATTTATTTTTTAAATGTAAAAACGTAACGTATTTTTTTTTAGAATAATCATAGTTATTTATTATCATAGTTATTTTAGTATTTTTTTATGAAATAGACTAATAGTATTTAACTTGCAGGAAAGCTACAATTATAGTCCTTCATACTAGGTTAAATACTAGGTGGTACGGAATCTGTTAACGGTTGTGCCAACGCAGTGATTCTAACTATGTATATTGGCCATATTTATGTTCTGTGGGCTCCCGACCGCCTTCCTAATTTGGACGTGGCCGCAAGTTACACATCAGTTCAGGTTCTAAAGAATTTTGAAATGTTTTAAATATGTCGATTAACTCACATTAAAAAAAAAAACTTGTTAATTACTCTCGTTATAGAATTACTTTGGTATCGATTATGTTTTACCCTAGTGATTTCTTCTGTTTATTTCTCTTCGAAAATTGTGGAAAAAAGGTTAAGAAACCATTCGAATACTAAATTGTATTTTTATTTTTTATGTATTTCTCTAAGATAGAACAGATTATACGATTGCAAAAACAAAAAACTTAAAACTCTCCTTATTAAGGAATAATAATTTTTGTCAAGAATTTTATAGACAATTATGCAGACAAATAATTCCAATAATCATTCTACATAAACTTTCTTGAATCCAAATTAAACACACAAATATCTGTAGGTCAATGTTCCTACGTTCGGCTTTAGTATAACGTCTGAGAGTGATAAAGCAAAAACCTTTAGTATGAAACCATAAATTGACAAGTCATAGTTTATGTTGTTACCGTTCGCTCTAGCATTGAACTTGATTGTCGGCTACAGGCGAATTTGATTGATAAATCTACAATTCATGGTCGTAAATAATTACAAATTAATAATAATGTTCTCTAATGATAGAAGATTTTTTATAATAATATAGTGAGAATAGTTTCTACGTTTGTGACGTCAACTATTATGAAACAAAAAATGGTAATAAAAAATTGTCTCCGCTGTTATTTTCTTGTTTCTTATAGATAGATTAATATTAGAGAGCTTAAATTTAATAAAGGTCAGCTCGGTTGGTCATTCTTGTATTATTTTGCAGTTTTAAATCTAGTTCGCCTACAGTTATACATGACTGTGGGAGATCGTAAATTTTATAAAAATGTTAAAAGACTGATAAAATTAAAATATTTTGTTATTTCTGAATTTGTAGCATTTGTTTTAACATATTTTGTAATGTTAATCAGAAATGACCATAGTGCCTCTTTAGTATACTTGAAACAAAAATTATATTTGCGTATTATTCTTCTCTACATTCAGGAAGTTAAAGAATTGTAATATCATATCTAGATCTCAACAATTATGTAAATTTGACTAAATTATAAGCTAAAATAGGAAGTAATTAAGTACATATATGCTATTGCTCTTGTTTTATTGAAAGATTAAGGAATTTCGCAATTTGATTACATTGCATCCGCAATATATCCCATGGTATATATGCTATTTATGCATAAATTTAATAATTAAGTTATGCTTATGTGAATTATATTTGTGACATATATATTTGTAATTTTCAATAAAAGTGTACATTTAGTATATCACGGTGTTATGTTTTGTTCAAAACGGTATACATAAAATCATAGTTCCATTGTAAAGGATGCTATTTTTGTTATTGGAATACAAAACTATAGCCTGTTTATGACGCGGTTTTATCTGCCCTCAGTACCTTCTAGGACGCAAGAATATTGGCTTATTCACATGGTTTTAACATTAATGATTCATTTAATTTATTTTTCAAAAGATAGAACCGATTAAACTTAGAAAAAGTGAGAAATAATACTTATCTTAAAAGCGACTTACTTATTCAAGAAACGGCTGTTGAAGTCAGGCGAAGGTGTTTCGTAGGTAATTGCGGGAGTTCAAAAGCAGTTTCTTGTTGGTTTTATTTTTTTAAAGTACATTAAGTAGTCCAGCAATCAATTATTATTGTCAATACGTTTAAACTAAGACAAACATACATATATTGAAATCATGTTAATGAAGATTTCGGCAACAGAAATATTTATGTCGTATTCAACTCAACAACAAAGTCTAACCTAGGCACCGAACTCAACCCAAGTGTTTGACCACATTACTTAGAAGGCATTACGTGGGTGAACAACATTATTTTAGGCTACATATACTGACTTCGAGATTTTTCCAATGGCTTTGGTAATTCAATGTGCTCAATAAGGAAAAGTAAGGTCATAAAGATGGAGATGGAACGTGAATGAATTCATTACATTAACTGGTTACTCCTCGGTAGCTACGCCTTCTCTGATACAAGTGACATTTCGCCTATAAAATATAATATTATTTCGGGATATATTCAGAACATGACTTATTGATTGCCTTGAGTCGTCTTTTTATATTTGGAGAAAAATCAAAATAATATATTTCATAATACCACGAACAGAAATGTTGCTGTTGTTCTCATAAAATTATTATGATTTGATATATTGTGCTGTTTATTATGTTAAGATTGAAAGGTCATAGCTTTTTTATTCATTGTTTCTAATATTGTAATGAAACTGACCTCATAGCCTAATAAAGTCAGTAATTTGTTATACATATTTAATTTATACTGTTAATATTGATTTGGTAATAAAAACCATGCCAGTTTTTGTAAATGTTCTTACGTCTGAACTGGTAAGTTTCTTTTATCAGCTAAAAGTCCTATGTGTTAGATAAAAAACTATTCGATAGTACTTTTTATAAGTTTATTTGAATAAAGATTACTTTGATTTCTGAGGAATGATTTGATAGTGGAAACAAACTTCCATGAAATAGGCCCCGGAACTTCCGAAGCGATTTTAAAAATTCTTTCACCTTCCAATAGCTACTATTTTCATCATATGACGTCTCATCCTACGCATTACTTTTCCTTATAAATTCTAATTATGTAATTTATTTTATTTTAAATTCCTTAGTCACACAACATTAAATCACCCCATAAGGCAAGAATTTTGGGTACGGTCAATAAAATATTATCTTTTATTTTTTAATTCAAGTTAATTCTTATTCATTTGTTGTTCTAATTGATAAAAATCGACTAAAATTATATGTACTATACTCCATTCACTATAACATTAGAAAAAAAAGAGGGTCATAGAAGCAGCAGTGCAGAACATTTTATTTTCAAGATGAATTTAAAAAATCTATAATAGTTTTGTTGAAACTTTGAACGTTAAGAAGAAGAACGAACGGTAGTCTGAAAGAGCTGGGCAATTTTCCATTTTTTATGATACCTCGGGGTTGAGATGAGGCCAGCATTTTATAAATTCATCTTTTAGTCCCAAGCCAACATGGAAAATAAAACTGAAACTATCTGTGTGTTTTGATAAATTGTAAGTGTAATAAGTTACACTATTGATGAAGACATTGGAAAAACTCCCTGAAATGTCAAAGTTTGAGGGTAGGTATGGGGGCTTAGAGCGTAATT